AAAAAATTATCAAAAATTTAGCTGTCACTGATTTTCTTTTTTTAAAAAATTAACTGCGATTCTCATGAATATTTTGTGCATGGTAGATTTAGAATGAAAGGCAAAAAGCAAAGGCGAAAACTGAAGGCTCCCACCTACATGTGTCTCTTTCAAGTTTAGGCTCTAATTTCTAGAAAAATATTTAGGTAAATTCAATTTATTATTTATGGTCTGTTTAATATAAGCATGATATTTAGATAATAATAAATATAAAGTGATTCTAATATTAATAATAGTAGAGAAAGAAAAAGCAATAGATCAAATGTACATTCTGTTATAAAAATAAAATTAATTAAAAATTATCACATAAAATTTTATTTAAATTATTTAAAATATTTTAATTAAATAGATTATAAATAATATGGCACGTTCAATTTATCTAAATATTTATCCTAATTACCATGACTTTTTATCTGCCCCCAAATCCCAATCATCACATATGCTTATGCTATGTTTGTTGGTTAGGGTCCTGTTATTAATTATTCCCTTCCATTTATCTCCGCTTTCAACGCCATTAAGCTCTTTGGTCAATAACTATCACCACATTGCATTAAGTTTTAACCGTTAATTTTGCCTTTTCATTTCAGATTCCCCATTTCATTTCACCTACTTCCTTGCATTTTATGATTTTATCTCATCCCCTGCGGTCTGGAGTTTGGACCTTCCCAAATTCTTTCCGGGGTATTTTTATTTTAATTATTTTTACATTTTATTTAATTCAAGTAAACCTTCAGTGGTAAAACACGTGAATTAGCCCCGTGATTGGCATTAAAAATAATCTTACACTCTTAATAAATTATCCCATAATGTAAATAACTCATTAAAAAATATGATAAATTGAAAAAAAAGTTATACAAAAAATATTATTAATTTCATATAGACGATAATAATATATTTGTAGAAGAATATTTATTTATATAATTTTATTATATATTATTGATTGAATAAAAATATAAATATAAATTATTTTATCCCATCATGGCAAAAAACTTAGCTTGTCCAATTTTAAATTTTATTTCTTAAATTACTACATATATAATAATATAAATTTTAAAGTGAAGGGAAAACTAAGAGCAAAATTTAGCTTTCTACCCAAAATCTCATTAAATTCTAAAGTGGAGGAAAAAGATTGTGGGTAAATTTGGAAATCAAGATTTCTCTCCAAAATCTCAAAAAATTTGTAAAGTAAAGTTGAAAAAAACAACAAAAAAGTGGATCCCACATTTTATTTTTCTCTCAATTGTCTTCTTAATCAGAAAACATCATCCCCTCTCTCGCACTTTTCTCTTCCCCTACTCTCCAGCCAACCAATGCGCAAGTGTATCAGTAAAATCTCAAGTACCTGCTTTCCTTGTCCGTTCGGTTAGATGGGCAGTTGTCTTTTTAAATCCAAAATTTATTTAACAACGGCTGAGAAAAACATATATAAAATATAAAAAACTAACTTTTAATTCTTATATTTTACTAATTTTTTATTATAAATTTTTATATTTTTTTAATATTTTAGATCTTTACACTATTATTTTTCAGTGTACGATAGACTAAAAAATAAAAGTATAAGAATCTAAAACACTAAAAAAAATGTAAAGATCTATAGCAAAATACGAGCAAAGTACAGTGATTAAAAGTTCTGTTTTTTTCAATATAAAAACACAAAAAATTTACAATACCCATACTTTTAAAATCCTTCATCGTTCTACCCATAGTATCTGATTCAACTGATTAAGAAAGTTGAATTAACTTATCATAAAATTTTAAATTTAAATTTTGAGATATACAGTCACATTAAATAAAATATGACAACAAAATCCATGAAATCTCTCTGAAATTATTATTGATAACAATGGTGTTGGAATTACTTTATAGACATGTGGTGATAATACTCTAGCCCCAACATAATGAAGATGGAATAAAAAAAAGAAGAAGTCGCACTAAAGGCTCTGAAAAAACAAATTATTGCATTTTGGACTTAAAAAATTTTGATATTGCATTACAATCTCAAGGACCCTTGTTGCAATTTTTCTTGAGGTCAAAAGTATGATTTTGCCCTTATACTTTGAAAACACAATCGGCGTGACAATGCAGTACAGAATGTCCACTATGTATAATACAATGTTCATATATTTTTAATTGAAAGTCCATGCGTGTCCAATTTATCAGTAGTCTTAATATAATGTACAAGTTAAACAAATAATATACAATACAATATTCACCATATATAATACAAGGTTTATATATTCTCAACTAAAAGTCCATGCGATTTTAATTTATCAATAGGTTATGCTTAACAAAATGCACAAGTTAGGCAAACCAATGTATAACATAATATCTATTATGTACAACATAAGGTTTATATATTCTCAATTGAAAATCCATACAATTTTAGTTTATCAGTGAATTAGGCTTAAAAAAATGCATGTTAGAAAAAATAATGTACAACACAATATCTACTATACACAACACAAAGTTCATTTATTCTCAACTGAAAGTCCATGCAATTTCAGTTTATTAGTGGGTTGGACTTAACAAAATGCACAAGTTAGACAAATCAATGTATAACACAATATTCACTATGTACAAAATAATGTTCATGTATTGTCAACTAAAAGTCCATGTGTCTCCAATAATATATCAGTAGGCTAGGTTTAATACAATATATAAGTTAGGCAAATAATATACAATACAATATTTACTATGCACAATATAATCATCATATATTCTTAATTCAAAGTTCATGCGTGTCCAGTTTATTAGTAGGTTAGGGTTGAAAAAATGCATAAGTTAAGCAGACAATGTACAACAAAATATCCACCATGCACAATAAAATGTTCATATATTTTTAACTGAAAGTTTATGTATGTCTAGTTGATCAATAACATAGGTTTAATAAAATGTATAAGTTAAGTAGACAATGTACAACACAATATCCACTATGCACAATATAATGTTCATATATTATTAACTGAAAGTCCATGTGTGTCCAGTTGATTAGTAGGTTAGGTTTAACAAAATGTACAAATTAGGCAAACAATGTAAAATACAATATCCACTATACATAATACAATGTTCATATATTCTCCATTGAAGGTACATGCTTGTCTAGTTTATTAGTTTGCTAGATTTAACAAAAAGTTTCTTAAGTCTATGAATAACAAAAAGTCTATATATAACATGACAATGTTCATTTATTAACAACACAATATCCATATATTTCACATGGTTTGTGTGATTAGGCTGAAAATTTGGAAAGGTTTCTCAAGTTTATGAATAATAGAAAATTCATATATAACATGAAAGCATTCATTTATTAATAATACATTGTCTATTTATTTCACATTATCCATGTTGTTAAGTTGAACACTTGCAAAAGTTTTTCAGGTTTATGAATAATAAAAAATCTATATATAACGTGAAACTGTCCATTTATTAACAATATAATGTTCATGTATTTCACATGATCTTTCTGGTTAGTTGAAGATTTTTAAATAACATGACAAGTTCTACATATTAATAACACATGGTCCTTTTATATGGTACATATGAATATCTACACAAGGACTTTATATATTAACAATATGTTTTCATTAAATTTTTTGGAACAAATACATCATATTTGGATAATTTACAATTGAATTCACAATTGAATATTCAATATTAACAAGATAATGTTTATGTTTTCACAACACATAATCCAATCTTTTAAATATCAAAAGATCAAAAGTTAAAGCTCTAGGAAATGCTACTGTACATTGAGATGTAGAAGTCATCCTTCCTATAATCTAATTTATTGAGTGTTATAATTAACTAATTCACAACAGAACATCCATAAATAATATCAAAATGTCCATATATTTACAACACAAAGTCTATCTATATGATACACATAAACATCTTCACAAGTTAATTGCAAAGTTTGACAATATAAACTTTGTAAATAACAACATAAATTTCATAAATAATATCTACACTAGAATATGTATATCCGTTGTAGAAAAATCTATATAAAAAATAATAAAAAGTTCATAAATAATAATTTATTTTCATTAAATGAACATGAATGCGTACATTATAACTGGATAAAATTGATATGACTCAAGCTCTCTTTGTGTCCTCTTTTGACAAAATAAAACTGTTTAAAAGCAGTGATAGGTTTGTAATATGCAATACCTATATTAGATTCTATACTAAAATCAACACACCACTTGATTCATTCTTTTCACACTATGACTGATCGTTCCAAGAAGTTAATTAGCATGAGAGGGATATAATCAGTTGAACACCTAATCCTTTTCTTCATGCCATCTGGATAAAAGTGAATCTCCTACTCATGCCTGTTGAACAAAAATGTTTCAAATGCAAGCTTGAGAATGAAGAGAAAGAAGGAAGAGGCAGGAGTAAGAAGAGCAGGAATAGAGAGTATAATGAGAAGAAAGATGAATTTGGTTATTATATCGGTGTCAGAAAGAGAAGAGGGAGGAAGAAGAGAGGAAGAAGAAGAAAGTTGTCATTCAATAGCTGGTTATGGAAAGAACAAATTAGTCATTTCACTAAAAACCATAATTACAAATAAAACCTTTGAACTCTCAAAATAATTTTAAGTTTTATTAAGTATTGTCTCCAAATTTCTTACTTTTAAGGCCCCAAACGCAACTCCCCCCACAAAAATTCTTCACTTTCTATATAACTATTTGGGAGAGTTTCAGATCAGTTGTGATATTATTAGGTTTAAATAAGTGTAACCTAATCATGTATGTGTAAATTTCTTCACTTTCAAATAGGATAAACGTTAGGCCCTTAATTATGGTTTTCCCATTAAACCCTCAATCATTATTTGTGAACCATGATCATCATCATATACATATGGTCCCACTACTTTTGTTTTTTTTAAAAAAGAAATTATTATCAAGAATCACCCAACCAAGCCAGGCACGCTCTAAGACTGTAGCCAAAAGGAAATATATAGTCTCTGTTTTCCTGATTTCGCTTGCCGCACCAGTGCTTGCTCTCTTCTTCTTCTTCCTCCTCTTCTCTCTCTCCCCTCAGCACTTCACCAGCAATGGCGAAAGAGAGAGAGAAGAAGCTTCTTCCTGGCTTACTGGGCAACTATGCAGCAGAGCTCAAGCTTCTCCTCACGACTCTCCTCCTCCTCTGTTCTGTCGCAACTCTGCTTCAGTTCATCCCTTCTCGTTTCACCATCTCTGCTTCAGATCTCCGCGTTTGTATCTCACGCGTCTCCCAAGGTCCTGCTGCTGCTGCTGCTTCTTCTTCTTCTAATTTATCCTCTATCTCGCAGAAATCTGTAAGGTTGTCTTCACCGCCATCTATTCCCCTTCCGCCACCTCCCGAAGAGAAGGAGCGTGTTCTCCGAAATGGAATCATCAAGAGGGTTTTCAAGCCCTACGGTTCTGCAGCTTACAATTTCGTCACCATGAGTGCTTACAGAGGAGGTCTCAACACTTTCGCCATTGTGGGTTTATCTTCCAAGCCTCTCCACGTCTATGCCAAGCCCACCTACGAGTGTGAATGGCTTCCTCTAGTTCGCAACGCCTCTGCTAAACCCATAACCAACACCGCTTACAAGATTCTCCCAGATTGGGGCTACGGTCGTGTCTACACCGTCGTGGTCGTGAACTGTACCTTCTCGCAGCCCGTCAATGTCGACAACTCCGGCGGTAAATTGATCCTCTACGCTTCCACATCCGGCGGAGGTGACACGAAATTCAATATTACCGACAGGATGGAGGTTCTAACGGAGGCTCCTGGAAGCGTGGACGCTTCAATTTTCACATCTGAGCCTATGTACGACTATTTCTACTGTGGTTCCTCGCTGTACGGAGGCTTGAACCCACGGAGAGTGAGAGAATGGATCGCTTACCATGTCAAGTTCTTCGGACCGAGATCGCATTTTGTGATTCACGATGCTGGCGGGATTCACGAGCAAGCATTGGAGGTATTGAAGCCATGGATTGAACTGGGTTACGTGACGTTGCAGGATATAAGAGACCAAGAGAGATTCGATGGGTATTATCACAACCAATTCATGGTGGTGAACGATTGTTTGTTTAGATACAAGTTTATGGCTAAGTGGATGTTCTTCTTTGACGTTGATGAGTACATTTATGTGCCGCCCAAGAGTACCATCAAAAGCGTCCTCGCTTCGCTTTCTGAATACTCACAATTCACCATTGAACAGATGGCTATGAGCGGTAAGCTCTGCCTCTCTGCTGATTCCAGCAGAATGTACAGGTACCATCGATGCCCTTCTCTATTGTTAGTTAAATTTCGCTACCATGGAGATATTCCAATTCAGATCCTTCGATAAATTAACTAAAGTGTTTTAGGTTATTGCTGGCGCTTAGTATCCAATAGTTCTGTTTCTTGAAGCAATTTCCAATATTGCAGTCCATAGTTGAAGGAGCTGAAACAGAAAATTAATGATACAATTATAAGCCTATCAATTTGGAATTCTGATTTATAAAATTTCTCTGTTGATCAAAACCTAGAAGAGTGGCAAGTCATTGAATTAATGGGCATTCATTCCGATTAATTGCAATGCTCTGGGGTTGTTTTGTTTGTTACGAGTGGTTGAAAGCGATTTTTTGATAATTTGGTGGGTATTGTTTGGATTTATTAGCCCATTCCCACCGTATTATGAGAAATGGAGGTGCCTTGAACTGTGTTCTATCTTTATTGGCTTCTTATTTCTGAGTAGGGCCTTAACTTGTCTCGTTTACTATTCAAACCAATAATCAAGATAGGAATTTTTCCCCATTTATGGCAACGCCTTACCAATTACCATAATCAATATTGTTAATTTTTTTCCTTAGACAGTAAGAAATCTTAAAATTTCAAGGTAACTTGGGTGGTTAAAAATAATCATGATTCTTAAAATTTTTAACCTAAAATTTTTACAATTTGCAAGTTCCCCATGATGTGCATAGCTGTTTCTGTCTTTTTTTCCCCTCCTTGGGTGCTTTTTTAGTCCCAAGGTACAGCGAGAGAGACAAAGGAACAGGAAGTGGACCTCACCTATAATGGTGGTGACACTACCCAGCTATTTCTTTCTCCCTTCAATTACCACGCAGGATGCATGTTTGACTTTTTTCGCCATGGAATGGAATAATACTGTTATACTTATTTGAGTTGTAAATAATATTGTTTGAGAATATCACTTTGAGTTGTCTTAGTGCTTGGTTTCTTAGTGAACACACATAGCAGGTAGTAGAATCACAAGCAATCTTTCATTAAAAAATATGATACACACTTAGAGACTAAACCAAAAAATGTACCAGCCTTTGTCACTAATTAAAGTTGGCATGAATCATGAATGTAAGGCTTTCGTTGCTTAAATTAGTAGTAAAGGGTTCAAATCACAACCTTTGTATGTATATAGCAATTTAATGGGGAGATGTCTATTTTTTTGTAAAATGCCAAAAACCATACTTGTCATTAAATTGGTCAAAACACTATGTTCAAAGGTTAATGGTCAAAATCATCGTTGAACATGATCAAATTGGTTATAAACAAATTATATTTTATTAAAATGGTTAGGATACCGTTTTAAGGTTTACAGGTTGAATCAGGTAAGTTGACCTGAATTTTCGTAATATAATCCTTTGTCCTCAATATCTTGTTAGAAAAAGTATCTGTTGTCGGAGTGTACTCTTTTTTTTTTTTTTTTGAATAAAAGGCCACGGTAGAATCGTGCAAGGACCTGGATCAGGTAAGATCAGAAGCCATAAGGCTTATACAATCAATTGGCGGTATATCAAAAATACAAATATCAAAATTATCCGGTGACGCCTTGTGTGCCATAAGGTCAGCGCATCTATTAGCTTCTCTAAAAACGTGCTCAAAAGTTATCTCCCAGTTACGCACGATAATATCTCTTATATTTCTGATGATAACTGAATATAGGTGATTATGAGTATTGCTCTGGTGAATGAGAGATAAGGCCTCCATAGAATCAGAGTAGGAGTGTACTTTTTTTACTAGAACAGTCTTGATGATTTGGTGTTTGAATTAAATGGGTTGTATGAATGGTAATGCAGGAAATGGGGGATTGAGAAGTTTGTGTACAGAGATGCCAGGAAAGGAATTAGGAGAGACAGGAAATACGCAGTGCAACCTCGTAGGGTGTTTGCTACAGGAGTTCATATGTCAGAGAACGTACAAGGGAAGACGACTCACAACACAGAAGGGAAGATCATGTACTACCATTATCATGGAACCATCGCAGAGAAGAGAGAATCTTGCAGGGTGCTTCTGAATTCAACACAAGTCACCTTTGAGAAAACCCCTTATGTGATGGACACCACCATGAGAGATATTGCTGGTTTCATCAGGAAATTTGAGACCAAGATGATTGGTTCCAGGTTACAGAAGCCTCTCCAATGACATATCTTCTCTTTACAAGCTCATTCTGATCTCTTTCTTTCTTTCTTTCTTTCTTTTTTTAATTGGAATTTGTGTATGATATCTTTGGTTTTTTCCCCTCCTAATGCTCCTTTCGTATAGATTCAGAGGGGTACATGTTCTTGTTTTATTTTCAATAATTATTCTTTTGGTTTCTTTTGTTTTATGGCCTGTAAACAGAATTACTCTTATATTATAATTTGATCACGAATGGGTTAATAAAGCTGTCGGTGTGTGGGGACCAAGCAATCCATTTCTCTTCTGCCACCGTGCTAGATGCCAGAGGGTGCCTGGCCAGAGATCTTGTGGATTTGCTTGTGTGCATCCATTTTAATGTATCACTACATTTTGAAAGGTTTTTCTTGACATGCTTGTTTGCCAGACATGCTTAAATAGAATGAAAGTGAAAGGCATGTCATTTAGTTTTTAATAATTTCAAATATTGTCATGAATTTTTGTGCATAGATAGTATGTGTTGATTAAGTTATATATGTTCCCCATTTTTTTTTTTAAATTTATGATCATAGTCTCTCTCTCTCTCTCCCCCCTTTTTTTAAGGGACCAGATGGGACCATAGTCTTAGGATTCTTGTTGAACAGTATAAAATATAATTGATGAAAGCACATTCTAGCCCGGGCTACATGGAAGATTGAGGAACAAGCAAGCAAAGGAATTAATTAGTGAAGGAATGAACAAACATGGAAAAACTTTTGATGGAAAAAAAAAAGAGAAATAAAAAAAAAGTCAAAAAGAATGACATGTGAGGGCCTGAAAGGACGTGACTTGAGTGCCCCACATGGCTGCAATCTGGTTCCATCCCCAACACCAAATCATTTGGGCTATTATTTACTGTTTCCAGTTCATCATGCTTCCTTCACTTATTTTATTATTCCCAATTTCCCATTTTAAATTAAATATATACCACATGATGCCTTTTGCATGATTTTGACTTATATTCCCTTCTTTCTAATTTCATATAAATCCATATTTTTAAGCCTGTATGTTTCCTCCTGTGTTAAATGAATGGGTTAAAAAATTAATTCACACATATTAAAAAAATTAATTCAGTTCTTTGTAAAATATATCTGTTGGTTTTGTTAAAATACACTCACTTTATTATTTATATGGGCAGTTAATGGGAGTAACTTGAAAAAAATAAAATAAAAAGGAGATTGAGATTTTACAATTAAGAGCAAAACAAACTCATAAGTAGCTTCTACATTGTAGAAACTGAGAGTATTAGATAGATACTCACTCCCTCTGATCCTAAATATAGGTTATTTTGTAGAAGGAATTTATTATCTTAGATATAAGTCACTTTTGTACGAGTTTTTGAGGTATTTAACCCTTTCTTTCCAAACACGCCCTCATTAAAGATGTGGGAAGAGTATTCAATTTTTCAAATTGATAGCATTAATTAGGGATAAAGATAAAAATTTAATTAAATTTTAACTTGAATTTAATAAAGCAAGCGGCAACTAATTTTTCTTAATTACAATGAAATAGTTAAAAAATGACTTACATATATGTATATATATTATGTTCCTTCCACTCATTATTATAAAATACTTTTGACCATCTTATAGTTATCAGAATCAATAAAGGGTAATTAAATCATTAACTTTTTTTAAAAAATAAAATAAATTTTTAATTTTAGATATATTTAAATTTAAATAAAATTTTTTTAAATTTATATTATATTATCTCTTATAATTAATAAGTTTAAATAGAAATAACATTAAAAATATAATTAAAAAATTATTCTAAAAAGCGTCCTTTAATAGAAATCAAAGCGCGGGCGTGTCTGGCAGGATGGCTAAAAAATTGGGATCACTATCAGCAGTGTGTGGAGCTTAAGTCAAGAAGATAAAAGGAGCGGCTGGCCCTTTCGGCCCATGGGAACAGCTCTCTCCAAATTATAATATTAGGTATTAATAACTAATCTTGTGATTTTAAATTATGAGATATTTATTTTTTAAAATTTTCATCCCAAAATACTCCCTTCATTTTTATTTGTAAGAAAAATTATAACTTTCTACTTATTTTTTTATATACGTAAAATCACCTATCTCAATAAGCATTTATTATATATTTTCTAAATCATCCCTCATAATTTACATTAATGAGAAATAATTAATGCATGCTTATGTTGATTAATATAGAGTATTTTAATTTAATTTTTTATTTTCAGACGTAATTATTATGATTAACTAATTTTCTTAAACTGTGTGATATAATTTTTCTTTTATATATAAAAACAGCAGGAGTATAAAACATTTCGAGCAGATTAAAATTTCATTAAATGCACCAATTCAAACATTACCCTTTCTCTTTCTATAGTCAATTTTTTGTCTTTTTTCTTTGTAATATATTAAATGATGGGTATTTTTAAAATTTTATATTTTTATTTTGGAAAGATAAGGGTGATAAGTCTATTTAATGAGGTTTATTGGTATGTAAGATTTTGTCTAAAATATCTTATAATTTGAGACGGAGGGAGTAGTTTATAATTCTAAAAAAAAAATTAGGTGAAACTTAAATCTTTTAAAAAATCTTATATTTTTTAATTATAATCTCATTAAATATCCTATATACAAGTGCCATAATCATAACAGTTGAAATTTCAAGGCATCATTTTTTCAAAAAAGAATAATAAATAAAGTAAGTGTATAGTTGAAAAAGTAATTATAAAAACTATATAATGTACTATATTTTGAACTAACTAAAGCTTCTAAAAGATGTATATATTATGATTTGGAGATAATATTTTTTGTTAAACATCTTTATTGTTTCCTCTGTACTACAATATAAAATGTTTTTTAGAAGGTTCTGTTTAATTTAAAATATAAGACATTAGGTAAATTACACCCACACACACATACACACATACAAAATTATATCCTTACTTTATTATATTCCAATCAAGTAATTAATGATAATATTTTAAATAAGTCAAACGTTATATTTATTTCACTTAAGGATACAATTAAAAAAATATAAAAAATTTAGAAAATCAAAATTTTGACTAATTTTTTTAGAAATATAAATTAGTTAATAATTGTGATCTTGAAGTAATATCAAATGCCTTTGCTTAACTTTTTCTTCTTGTTAATCAAGTAATATTTCTTTTTTACTACCATGTCGATCAATCTACCCTAGTAAACATGATTTGTCTCCGCTTCATCTATATCAACTCAATTTTTTTTTTAAAATACGCAAGGGTACATTAATCCAACAAAGGATACAAAAGTAATCAGTTCACATCATATGACCTAATCTTTTCATCATCTACCATTTCTCAACAAAAATGTGGTTGCTAATCAAACGTACAGAAACTCTTCACAAAGTCTAAAGCATGTACAAAAAATTGCCTCTATATACATGAAATTTAAAGACACTATAAAATGATTTAAACAATCTTTGGTCATCTCAATAATGTCTCTAAAAGGATGTTGGCTCACATAAGACCTAGTAAGATGATTAATTGCTTCAGCACAATCAATGAACACTTGAATCCTTTGCAAATTCAAGTGGCAGCATATATTAAAACCGGGAATATATACCAATTATATCAATAATGGCAAGAGGATAATGACCAACATTAGAGGAGAAACCAGCAACCCATGCATTCAGCATCTACATTTTGAATCACACCACATTTAGAGATGCCATTGCTTGTAGGAACCATCATTGTCTAGATGAAGATCATTACCTTTAAGCCTATACCATTGATGATGAGATCTCCTAGAAGGCTAAGACTAAGTGACAGAAACATTTAGTAAACACCAATTAATCTTAGCTTTTGTTAAAAAATTGCCTCTTTTGAACAAACTCCCTCAGTAGCCTCTTCATTAAATAAATTTATACATTTAGTTCACTTGATATCCTAGCAAATGTAACCGAAGAGAATGTCTCACTATACTTGCTTTCCAAACTCTTGTTTAGGTTGTTGTTTCAGGTTCCACAAGATCCCATCTTCATCATTTAGAGATTTGGATTTGCCCTAAAGTTCATGTTTTGTAACATCCTAAGAAAATTAACCTTGATTATGTTAAGGTAAATGAGAGTAATTAAGTAAATTAATGTCGCATGTGGTCAGAGAGGTTTAATGAGTGTTTTGGTTATGATTTTAACCTTAGGATAGAGTTCAAAGTAGAATAGGGACATTTAGACTTTGAAATGGGAGAAAAACAAGGAGAAATAACTTTGTACACAAGACGCCATGGTGCATAAGTCACCAAAACGTGAAGTATGTGTCACTGTGCCATATGCCACGGCATGTGTGTTAGGCGCTGCAGTGCATGGATAGAAAATTTGACTTATCAAACACAAGTCTAACACATAAGAGGAGGGAAATAGAAGAGTTTGAATGAGAAGGAGAAGAGAATAAAGAGAGCCCTGCTAGGGCTTAGGATTTTGAAGCATTAGGAGTATTTTAAAGCTTCTTAACACTAAAGGTAAGGTTTTTAAGCTCCTTCCCTCTTCCACTTCCGTTTTTCTTAAGTTGAGAAGTTAGGATTTCCTAAAGAAGATGATTTTTGATCCATAAAGGCTATGGGTCTGAATTCATTAACCTAAATAGAGTTAATAATACTTGCTTAAGGTATTTAAACCCTTTCAAGAGCAATAAATGCATTTTGGTAGTTATGAGTTAATAAATGCCTATAAATTAGTAGTCATGGAGGTTGTTAGAAGTGGTTAATGGCTATTAATGATGGTTGGATGATTTATTGGAGCTAATGTGAGTTAAAAAAGTTAATAAACCTTATCAGTAATCTTATAGATGAGGAATTAGAGTTTTGAGAGTTTTAAAAGTGTTTAATGTGATGTTAGGAGTTATGCTAATGAGGATATCAATTATTATTGATGTGATCAAATAAAGATTAATCAAAATTTTGGCACCATTCAAGCTTTGTAAAGCTTTGAAAGTGTGTATTTGAGTGGTAAACGTTTAACCTCTCAAAAGTTTGAAGTTATTGGAGAAATCTCTCTTATATTCTTGTGCGTTAATTAGTTACTTTAGTTTATAAACCATAATTAAAACTTATAAAATTACTTACAATGCAAGTGTGACATAATACAAATGTGAAACACACATGTAGTATGATTTATGATTGGTTAAATTAACTAATTATATGTGTGAAGTGTGTAATATAATAATTAGTTGGCAAATGATGTGGATAAATAACTAAATTTATGAGTAATTTGGTAAATAAAATGATT